TTTTTATATCTATTAAGCTGCATCTACTAAGCTGCTAAACTGCTAATAGATCTAATAGTTTAAATTTTTATTATATTTTAACTTTAAAATTATTTATAGACTTAGAAAATATAGAATTAAGCCTAATAGCCTAACTAAAAAATTAAATAATTTTTTAGAAAAAAATATTTACTATACTAAAGCTAAATAGTTTTAAAGTAAAAAAATATTAATTATATTTTTTTACTAATACTACTTTTAACCCCACCAGAAAGTAAAAATAATAAAAAAAAATAATTCTAAAAAAAGATATAAAAAATATACTAAAAATAAAGCTAGCACCTATTATATATATTTAAAAAAATATAATATTTAAAAATAAATAAAATTTACAACTTCCGCCTAAAATATAAATTTTTTTTTATATTATATATAAAATAAATAAATAAATTAAAGGAATACTAAAAGCTTTAGCTATTAATAAAAACTATTATTTAGATATATTACTAGTATTATATAAAAAAAAGCTTCTTATTTTATAAAAACTAATTATAAATATTTAATAATAAATAGATTAAAATTAATTTAACTAGACTAGTTTATAATAAACTTATTTCTAAATACTTTAAAAAAGTCTATATATATAAGCTACTAGTCTAAAAATACTACTGGCCTAATATCTACTAATATATAAAATAATAAATAAATAAAAAAGTAAAATAAAAAATTTTAAAATCTCTACTAGTATTTAAATAAGTATAGTAAAATATATTTATAAACTTTATTATATATTTATTTAAAAGCTAAAACTATAATACTATTTTAATAATTATTAACTATTTAATAAAAATAAAATATTTAATATTATATAATTCTACTACTAATACTGCTGCTGTTGTAACTATATATATTTAATATATATAAAAATTATATTATCTACTTTAATCTATTTTTTTAAATAAAAAACTTTAATTTATTTTTAAATTTTAAAAATATTTAATATAATAATTAGATATTATTTATAAGCTTTTTATAATATACTACCCTAAAACTAATAGCCAGATTAAAAAAATTAATATAATATTTAAATAATATTTTTATATTTATATAAACTATTTATAAGATAACTGAAGCCAGTAGCTTTTTTTAACTAAATTTATTTTAAATATAATTTTTTTAATACTATAAAAACCATTTTGTTGTTTATAAACTATAGTTTTTATTTTTATATAGATTTTAAGTTTATAGTAATTTTAAACAGCCCAGCTGCCAGAAATATAAACTAGTTTACTATAAAAATATAAGCTATTATTAAATTTACTAAAGCAGAAATATCTATTATTTAAACCTAATATATAAAATAAATAAACTAATAATATAAATTAGTAAAAAAATTTAAAAAAAAAACTAAAAAGTATAGCTGGATATCTGCTATATTAAAATACTAAAATCTAATAAAAAGCTTAACTAAAATATTTTAAAACTATATAAAATTAAAAAAATTATTAGCTTATATAAATATTTATTAATTAACTTTATTTTCTAGTATAAAGATATATTTTATATTTAATACTAGTTTATTTATATTTATTAATAAAAAACTAGTTTTAGGCTAGTATTAACCTTTACTACCTTATATAAAAATTAACAGCTTAAAAAAATAAAAAGTTAAAAATATTTCAAATTTTATATAAAACTATAAAAAATACAGCTGCTTTTAACTAATATATATTATAAAGTAGATTAGATATTTAGATCTAACTACTAAACCAGCCTAGTATTTTAAAAATATTTACTAAATAGTTAAGAACTTTTACTACTATTATTTTAATAAATTATAATCTACACCTTAACAGAGCTCAGCTTTAAAAAAGGGGTATATTATTATAGTATAGATTTAATATATTTATTTTATTTACTTTATTTATTTTATTTACTTTACTTATTTAATCTCTTAGATCTGTTTAATTTATTTAATTTTAATAATCCAACTGCCTTTTTTAACTGTTTTATATATAATCTGTAATTTTTTTAACTGCTTATCTATTTTTAATTCTGTTTATAGCTTTTTAAGCTATATTTTATCTATAATATCTAAAAATAGTCTAATCTAATAGCTAATAAAAAATCTAAAGAATTAGTTATAGAGAATTGTTTAGCTAGAAGCTGTTATTTCTACTACCCAGCCAGACTAAGAACCAGACACCAGCCCGCTCCTTGACATAAATAAATATTTAAAAAAAAGCAGAAATAAAAGATTTAAAATCAATTAATATAATTATTTCTACTAAAGCAGCTGTAGTATTTTTAGTAATATATATAAACTTTAAAATATATATAAAAATGCTTACTATAGGAGTAGTAATCTAAATAGCTTTAATATATTTATTTAAAGCTTAATTTTTTAAAAAGTAATATTTTTAGCAGTAGTTTCTTTTATAAGCCGATAGTTTATATTTAAAACCTATTTTTATTTAGTAAATAAAAATAGTATTTTATATAATTACAGCTTATTTAAGTTAGTTTTTTTTATAGTCTACTTTAGCAGTAAAGGTGTAGATCTGGTTATAATAATAGTACTATTTTTTTAAATATTTATTAATATATTAGGTAAATTCTTCTGTGTTGTTTAGTATTACTAAAAATTACAGAATTACTGGTATTTTATTAAAACTACTATTTTTAAAAATAAAAGCTATATAGTATTAAAAAGTAGACTAGTATCTAGTTTTTAGTTTAGCTGGGTAATAAAAATAATAGTTTTAGCTAAAAAATTTTTAACTAGTTTTCTCAATTTTTTATTAACTACTAGATTAGGCTATTTTTAAATTTATAAATAGAATATAGCTTAAAAAGCTATAGATAGAATTAAAATTAAATAAACAGTTAAAAAATTATAGATTATATATAAAGCAGTTAAAAAAAGCAGATAGATTATTAAAATAAAATAGATTAAACAGATTAAACAGGTTAAACAGATAGAACAGGTAGGACAGGTAGAATAGGTGTATTAGGTCTGTACTGTGATACTAGGGCTATATAAAATACTTATAATACTATTTAGATTTACTAAAGCTTCAAATATTTTTTAAAAATATATAAATAATACTTTAAAAAACTATTTTAATATATTTTATATAGTCTATTTAAATATAAGAACTTTTCTGAGGTTTCTTAGAAAGACTTCATTGGACTCTCACTTTTGCATACAAATTGGGTGCGAAAGTGAGGTGAAAGTAAAAGAAAAATAAAAAAAATAAAAATAAAAAGAATTAAAGATTAGATATAAATAAAAAAAGGCTAAACTGCTAGAATTAATTAAAACTGATTCAACTGAATTAAAACTGATTAAACTGATTAAAACTGATTAAACTTCTAAATAGAACTCTAGGGGTCTTTTTATCCTTATTTATAGCCAATTAGCTATTAAAAACATATAAAAACACATAAATTTATATAAAATTCATATAAAGATTATATTAATAGAACAGGGCTGAGAACAATAGAACCAGTGGTTGAATAGGGCCTAGAATAATCAATAAAAGTAAGGCCTTTTGCTCCGCTGCGGGGTGGGCGGAACTCGGAACATCAGTCCGCCAACTGGTTGCCTAAGGCAGCCAACTGGCCTGAGGCTACGAACTGGCGAGCCTGAGGCATATGTTCAGTGGCAGGCAGGGCTTAGGGTGGCGGGCAAGCAGGAATGGCAGGCGAGCAGGCCCTGAGGTGGCGCCTGGCAGTGGTGGCGAACTGGCGAGCCCGAGGCCGCGAACTGGCGAGCCTGAGGCTGCCAACTGGCCAATCTGCCCACATTGTTGACATATTTTTAAATAAATTTTAAGTTTATAGCAATTTTAAATAGTCTAGCTATTTAAAGATATAAACTAGTTTATTATAAAAATATAAATTATTATTAAATTTATTAAAGTAGAAATATCTACTATCTAAATCTAATATATAAAATAAATAAAATAATAATATAAATTTTTAAAAAAATTTTAAAAAAATAAGAAGTATAGCTAAATA